TTGTGTACAAATGTGTTATTTTCTTTCAATTAAAACGTGCATTGTATTGCAATGAATCTATATACTGTACGTTCTCAAGGGCGGATCCAGCCAAAATTTGAGTGGGGGGGGGGGGGGGTGGGGCTAATTGAGTTTAGGCAGGGTTAATTGAATTTCTTCCGTCAACACAATGGAAAACAATATGAAAAAGCATCCTTTTTTTTCCTGCTGAAGGGGGGCATCAGCCTCCCTTTGCCCCCCTGGATCCGCCCTTGGTACTACGGAACAGTACAAGTTGATTAAAATGCCACAGGTTTTGGATAAATAGCTGAATATTTTAATGCACAGCCAAGACTAAGGCTGAGCAAAGAGAACTTGAAACAGGAGCATTGTAGGAGTGCAAGCTGCCCTGTAATAATTATACTGAGGTTAGAAATGGCACAGATGGGTACATCAAATAATAATGCTGATCTTGATCCTAATATACTAGAAACATTTGACATGGCATACAGTAATATACACACGTACCTTATCTGTTATCCCATAATCTCTGCATCTCTTAAGAAAATCTATTAAATATATCTAAAAATAAAACAAAATTTTCTCATCATGATTTTATAATGTATGTTATCCTTTATTGCTGCTTGAGTAGGCCATTCTAGCAGTTGCATGGTGATTGACAAAGAAATTCTTTTGAAGAGATGATGGATCACTGGTCAATCATGGTCAATTAAAGGTTTCAGTAAGACCTTATTAATCCTATTAATATTCTTCACAAACTGTCACTTTATTCATGTTTTAGTGTGCACCCTTATTCCTGGTTTTCATACAACCAATGTTGGTTTAATTTACTGCAACATATTTTCATAAACATGCGAACTCTGTGTCTCTGAGTTGCATATTTGTTTTTTCTCTGCTGCCAGTCAAAAATATGATTAGATTTGATTGACAGCAGTGAAAAACCAAATTTCAGAGTGCGACTCAGATACACAGAGTTTGCATGTTTTTGAAAATCGTAGTAACTAAAAGCTTTCATTACTCTTTTGTTACTGTATAATCAACCAATATGACTAACAATAATTCTTAATTTATGATAACTAAGTGATTTCATTCTCTTGGAAATTATTTCAAACACCATTATGGTCAAATCTTTATCTTATAAAGATGTTCATCCAGAGCACCCTCCACAAAACGATATGAGATATATTTAACATCTTGTTTTGAAGTGTGAGGGGGGCTCGTGATATAGATGTATATTATTTTGGACAGTGTACTTATCAAGGTTAAGGGATTGAATATTTCAATCTTGGTACTGTGACTAGCAGCATGTCTGTTCACACTGCAGGGTTCCCCAGTATTTTTTGTTGGTTCAAATATTTGGACAGCAGAAAATTCTGAAAACTCAGTGCACAGTTTTGTACCATTTTCATTTTTTAAAATGTTACTTGATTGTGCAATAACATAATCAAGCAAAAAAAGAAACTCCTGCACACTAACCTTTGCTATTTTGACAATTGAAATTCTCTCTGTAGACATTTGACGAAGGGTGAGATCTGCTGATAATGCTGGAAGTAAGAAATACCTGTCAAAAAAAACAACATTGTATCTTATCAGACTAGACCTTGATAACCCTAGCAATACTCTCTTGAAAGATTTTCAGTTTTTTGTAGGTATTAGATTGTTTGGATTAATGTTTATTCACCTTAAATCTGTTGTTGCTACTTCTTCTAGATCTTCATTGGAGCTAAAAAGGCTGACCTTGTTAACCATTTCTGTTGTTCTAGCTAAACATTCAAGAGCTGAGGTGATGGTTTTCTGTAGAAAAAAATTATAAAAACATTACCTTTGCTGCTCTTAATTTATCGCCACAAAGACAAAAACCAAGTTTAATTTAGCTGTTGCCTATTGCAAGTATAGTGCTGGGAATATGCATAGAATGACATCTAAGTGATTGTGGTCAATGCAGCTATATAGATGATTTATCAAAGTTAATGCATGTCTCTACAAGCCACTATTGGGTTGCCTGTGGCAGCCCAGTTGTAAAATGCCTTTGGTTTTTTTTGCCTTCTCCTTCTTGAGAAAAGTGCATTCTTGTACAAGAGTACCCATATTTGGATTTAAATGATGTGTTCATAGATTCTGGGCTCATACATTGGCTTAGCAGCTGAGGATATAATTCCGGGCTTTAGAAGTAATATAATTGAGCAGTAAAAGAAGATTTCTAGGATTGTAAAACAGATATTCATTAGTATTAATACTGCTACTCAGTCGGCATTATTCTTTCTTCAATCGCGTGGATTAGTAGAGCCTAAAGGAGAATAATCTTTAAGGCATATTACATAAATGTGTTGTTAAATACTACACGGTAAAAAAGCTGGTAACTTTCGTCGTAAATACTTTTCACTAAGTATTGAATCCTTTTACTAAATGAGTTCCACTTCACTGGTTTGGATATTTWAAAAAATAACATTTGAAGAATATAATCAATAATGGAGAGATCGAGAACTTCAGAATGGTTAGCAAAAAACAAATAACCATTTAAATATATTACTAAAGAAATATGAAAGAATTTATTTATTTGTGTGAATATATTTAGTACAAAAATGAAGAGTAAACTAAGAATGAATTTCTGAGCAAATGTATATGGGTGATGCAGAGGTGATTGACAGGATCCATGTATAAGTACCCTTGAAAGAGCAGGGACCAGATATTTGAAAACTCAGTAGACTAGTATATATATATTGATATGACCTTTACTCAGTAAGGTCAATAAGGGTAGCTAAGAAATTGTGTACACTGGCCATGAAGTTGGAACAAGGGTTCATCATGCAGTGACAATTATTTGGAAACCTTAATGAGGAATTAACTTTTCAATAAAACAGAGCTTTTGCATGATTGATATTTAAATATTAAAATTTTCTTGGTCTGCTAAAGTTAAAGTGTAAGCATGTGTGTGTTTTAGTGGAGGGACCCRTGGGCTGGGATTTAAAAGTTTTAAAGAATTGTGTGCATATGGATAAAAACGTCCTTTGAACAGCCATCCCACCATCAGAGAGACTTTCATACATGTACAGCTTGTGATTAGATATAGTAAACAAAGTAACAAGACAAGCTGAATGGTTCTGTTAATATGGTGGGTATTAAAATCTTATTTTGTGCAAGTAATATTGGAGAAAATCTAGTCCCCTGATTTCGTATATCATGATTTATATGTTAGCTAAGTACTCAAAGGTTGACAGCAAAGCATTCATAACATATAGAATTATTTCTCTGAGTTTGTAACAAATTTTAGACTTAATGACTTTCATGCCAGAAAAAATTAATGTCATTCCCACTTAGGAAATCTTATTTCCATTACAAATATTTAAATCCTATTCCCATTCCTCRGTTCATCAAATACCATAATTCCGGTACGAAATCAAAATAAGCATAAGCCCAGTCCTAATTTTATGAAATCAGGTTAAGGGCCCTTCGTTAATTATTCTTCCTTTGCAATAGACGTCATAACCGCCATGTTGGAAGAATTTGACAAAAGATTTTTCAATGAATTCTTTTGTTATATCTTCCAGCATGGCGGACATCCCTTTTGCCATTGTGATCTCTTGGGATTGATTGCAAACCAAGAATGCGCAGCTGCGAGTTGTTAATGACAGCTAGTCTGAAGTTTGCACTTGAAAGACAATGGTAAGAAAGTATACTTCTTGGATGAATGTTTGCTGGAAGACATACAAAAACAATCATATGTAATTCAAACTACTGTGGGTGTATATACAATACTTATGCAGCATTTGCAGCCACAACAAATGTTGTTTTTGTTTGTCTTTTTTTTGTATTAATCAAGGGATCATATTATGAACAATTTCTGGGGAATAAGATTTTACCTGCAAGTTTTCTGAGTTGTTAGGTTCCTCACTCTGTTCAACTCGTTCATGTAAAGCCAAACCTCTTTCAAACATTTCTTTTAAACTCACTTCTTCTTCTTCTTTGGCCGCCATTTTTCTTGTGAGCCTGCAGACTAAACGATCAGCAGTTTCGTGCTTGTCCCAGTCTCTCTCTTCAATTCCAAATCAAAATGGCGGCCGAAGTGAAGCTTCGAACTCTTCGTGGGATTTTAAGAGAATTAAGACTTCTCTCCCATCCAAAGGTAATCTTTATCCATGCCCTTAGGTTAAGCATTAATAAATGCGTCTTTTATTTTAATTTTAGGCCGTTCTGTAATGGATTTTTTTACAAGAATGCATGTTCATATTTTAATACTACCATGTGCGGTACAGTTTGCGCCTAGTTCTTGCAAAGCTGATAATGTCTGAAGCTTTTGTGGAGCTGAATACAGCATACAGAGATAACATATTGTCTACGATACATATTTTCCATGTAAAAAATTGAATAACTGAAGTGGAAGGGGGAAGTGAAGCAAACCTTGGATGAAAAGAAAAAACGCRTATCCAAAGCAAAAATTATATAAGAGAGTAGCACGAATGTCACCGACCTGGGTCTCAAAGACTCCACCGACAAACATCAACCTCTTAGCCTGTATTCCTTTCTTTATGTTTCGGCATCCTTTTGTTAGTTTGTGCAGAATAAAAGGTTGATGTTTGTCGGCAGAGTCTTAGAGGATTGGAGGCGTGACCGAGGCACGTTTTTCTGCCATGAAATCCCAGATTGGTAACATTTGTAATATCAAAATAGAGGAGAGAGGAAGACCTGAGATCAAACTGCATTGAAAAACTGACAGCATGCAGGAATAACAATGTGTAGTTCCAAAAAATATCCATACATGTATACCAAACCCAAGGAGAAAATTAGTAATTCTGGAGGGGAGGGGGGGGGGGCAAACAAAGAACAAAATTAGAGTGTTTGTGTGGAAAAAAATTGGAATGTCCTTGGGGTAGTGGGGTCCTTTTACAAATTTCCTCCTTGGTGGGGTATGGATATTTTCTGGAACTACACAATTAAGGTGGCTCCATGGGGTTTTATCCGCTCACTACCACGCAACTTCAAATTGCAAATATGCGTACACAAACAAACCAATACTTTTTTTTTTAGAGGTTTCAAGGGAAAGATAAAATTTTTGAATGACCATGCCTTTACTGAAATCGGAATTAATATAAGATCACTGTTAAGCGTTGGTGCGTTTACTTTATTGCCTATTTTCTCCATTTTTTAACTTAAGTTTTTTAATTGCTTTTGAGATATTGGAGGATAAGTAATTTGATAAAGGTTCAGAAAATTTGAAAAAAATCTGTGAGAGCATTTTCATGAAATTTCACATTTTTGAAGTATAAAAAAATTGCAGAAACAAGACATATTAGTAACTTTGTGGAAAACTAGTTTATTTTCTCAGTTTTGAGTTCCTAATTTTATCTAAAGAAGTTGGTAAATCACTTTGGAATATTGGGTAAAAATTGTATAGAAATCGTACCATTTCATATTTCAAAATATTAGGTCGACTTACTTGGCTATGAGCTGTATTTTTGGACTATTGTGTTATGTTAATTAACATGCTCGTAAATTCAAATGTACTAGATGAATTTAAAAAAAAATTTAGTCAACACTCACTACAATATATAGGCAACAAGATGTCAAAGTTTCATTTTCACTGAACCATTTAAAAGCTTTCAAACTGAAATCTGCATAGAGGACAGTACGGGACGGCGATTCTCTTTAGCCCTTCTTTATTTGATTATTCATTGTGCTTTTGTCCTTTTTTATCACATTCGCCTGAATTGCAGTGTGCTGTACGAGCTGGTCAATGGTTAATAATTATTGCTTTCCGAAAATGTTTCTGAACTATGTAAATTATGCGCCAGATGATTCAAGTTGCTTAATGTGTGGCATGCCCACACCAGTAAAGCATAGAACCAGGTACTGTGTGACAAAGTCTTGCAATACCTTAATATTTCTTATGATTCTTGGTCGATTATTGAGCTCAACTGTTCAGCAACATGGTAGGCAATGCTGCATTGTGTGTTAAACCCAAGTACCTTTCACAATTCTTGAGTTATGACTGAATGAAGCAGAGAAAGAGTGATTATTTATTTTTGCTTTATTTATACTGTAAGCTTGCTTAAATATAAATTACAAATGCACCTTTGTCGTTGTACTTGTGCTTTGTTTATTAATATATTTATTATCCTAGAGCCCAACAAGACAGCTGTTTGGATATTCGTTCCTTCTGTCTGAATATCGCAGGATGCGCACAGCTGATCAATCAACAATACACTTGATGAACAGAAATGCTGAAAATTATTTAAGCTTGCTAAAGAGTGAAAGAATAAAAGAGGTGATTGTTAAAAACACCATCATGTGAATGTGTAATAATACGTTTCTGACTCCTTTTGCATTTTACAGGGTTTGTGCTACTCTTGAAATCCTTGAAAAGTCCTTGAATTGAAAACACGTTTTTAAGGGCACTTGAAAAGCCCTCGAAAATAGGGGAAAACGCCAAAATTCCTGGAATACTCCTTGCATTTAATGCAAACTTAATGTTATTTCTAACTTTCCTTTTAAAATAAATAACGATTAAAATTGATTGAAGAGTTTCTGGTTGCTTGTTTACTGGTTGGTTGCATGTCATGCTTTTTTTTTTATCTAAGCTAGTGGCTTTGTTAGAATTAGCTGCACTTTAACATTGAATCAATGTTTAAAACAAGGTTCTAATACAAAATACTTTGTCCTTGAAAATCGAATTTTTGTGCTTGAAAAGTGCTTAAAAAGTCTTTGAAATTTGTAACGAGAAAGTAGCACGAACCCTGATTTTAGATCATAGACATAATTACTCTAAATTCCATTACTGTTATTAACATTATTAACAATCATCATTGCTTTCAGGAATTGTATCAATTTTACAAAGGTGGAGGAGAAAGCAAAAGTGAGGCTGCTGCGAGGAGAGTAGGTTATGAAATGCCCAAGAGACATGATGATGATGATGTTAAAACATAACAGATAAGTAAACTGTATATCTACGATCAGATACTCATAAAACCTGATTACTACATGTACACTGTATCATGAATAAGGAAGAAGAAGCATCTGATCAGCTGGATTGTTATGGTTGTTGTGGGATGTCAGTGAAGGGTTCCAGTGAAGTGTTGTCCTGGCCTGGGAATGATTCAAATGAATCTGGTACAGTTAAGTAAAATGAGTACTGTTTGAACAGTTTGCAAACATTGTCATGGTATCAGATAAATGAGAAACATGTACCATGATCATAAAACAAACTCAGGAATATTTCCTGATAAAGATCAAAAAGAAATATTTCATAGGCAATGTCCACGAGAATCAAACAAGTGGTGGCAAGGTTCAGTCCAAGAATTAAAAAGAATGGTACAGTAAGTAGAAAGTTCAAAAATTGTCATAGATGGCTTATCTTTTTACCGCGCTCCATTTTCCATTTTGTCCATTTTCACTCATCTTGAGTGTTTCTTGCTTGGGCTTCAGTTGAACATCTTCTGTGACCGTTTTTTCGAGAATAAAATAATATTTTTGAAAACTAACTATCCAGGCATTCATATCTAATAAAGGCCTATCTGCTTCAAAAGAAGAGCAATTTTTTGACCCTTGCCACTAATTCTTCAATCATTTGTTCATTTCTTGTGGACATTGCCTCTTCAGTCCTTGTACAATGGAAGCCATTTAGCAATTAGTCCTTGAGCACGAATGGGCTATTGACTCATGTTTTAGTCAAGTCTGACTACTAGTCAGTCAAATATTTTGATGCAAACAAGTTAAATTCAAATTTTTTTCAAAGCTGGCACTTTTCGCTACTAGTAGTTATAACCAAGAGAATATGAACTAAGAGAAGGAATCCTACCTATATAGCCTTGTAACCATCATGTGCACAGTTTGATGCTATTTTTTGCTTGGAGATATTTTGAGCAAAGAACCTGATTGGTTGATTTCTTGAGGGTGGGCAGCTTCTAGTCTTGCAGTAAACAAAAGCCTGTGTATTTGTCACTTTTTGTGTCCTAAAACGAGGCATTAAAGGAAGCATGATTATCGCGCGGGCATGGTAACGAGTTAAAAATAGCATCAGTGATTCTAAAAATAGCATCAAAGTGTGCACATGATGGGGCACGGGGATTCCTTCTCTTAGTTCATTTTCTCTTGCTATAACTTATAGCCTGTTAGTAGCTTATCCAATCAGAATGCAGCACTTATGATAGGCTGCTAGTTGGATTTGACCAATAACAATTAGACCCTCAGCCTGAATGGTCTATGAATCAATAGCCCTCAGAGACCATAAGGGCTTAAAGAGGTCTAATTATTGTATTGGTATAAACTGACTGGTCAAATAAACAGCCAGAGCTCTCAAAATAAGGAGCTTTTTTTGCACTTAATCTTATTACGGATCATGAGTGACTAATTTTGCTTTTTTTTGAATGTACACCTTACTGCTTTACATCTTACTTGAGAAATATCYTTTTAAAAGTAGCACTTTTTATTTAATCTCTCATCTCTTGTCTTGCTAAACTTTCCTTGCATATAAAGCCGTAAAGAGTCTTGCAATATCAGACCTTTAGAGATTTGTGGAGCTATAGTCCTGGGAAGATTTAAATGGCAAATTATAAATATGTCTTGCTCTTAATGCTCTTAACACTTGTGGAGAAAACTAGATTTTTTAAATATTCATTAAATATTTTAAAATATAAAGATAATTGTAGGAATGTTGATGATACAGTAAGTCAGTGGATATTATTTTTGATTGAATATATCATTTGTTCAAACAGAATTATGCTTTTGATCATATTTATATACATTAAATGTGCAAAATAAGCATTAAAGTATTTTAACATATAAACATCAATGAAATATCCTTTTTTTCTATAAGTAAAAAGTTTTAGTCAATATCGTTGTGATAAACATAATATGTAATAAACAACTTATCATTACATGTTAAGAGCCTTATACCCCATTCACACCAAGGCTTAAACATGTTTTAAAGTGGTTTAACTAAACAGGTTTGGAAAACTATCTACGAACRCTGCACAATATTTGGTGAAATAATGCATGTAAGCTATCCTTTGTCTTGCTCTGATAATATCTTAAAAAGTTTCATTATATTGTAGGCTTCTAGTTTCTCAATTTTTTCCTAATGAAAACATAGTTTAACTAAACACGTTTAGGTGTGAATGGGGTATTATATTTTTTCATTCACTCGTTTTCCAGATCATATCACTCGCTCTCAGACTCACTCTTTTGCGATATCATATGGAAACTTGTGAATAAAAACAATATCAAGCTCTTAACATGTGATAATCTCGATATATATTATGTGATACTGTCACATGTGAAAATAACACAGTTGGTGAGAACTCTTAGGAATCCCATTAAATAGTAAAAATCCACTAAAATTGTATTTCATTGATAATTGAAAAAGCTTGTGTTTGTTAGTTGACTTGTACAATCAATGTGACCATTGACACTTTCTTGTACAATATTGATAATGTATTTTATTTTAACAATTTAACTCTAGTAGACTACAACTATTAGAATAATCTTGTCAAACAATGTTTTAAAACCACAACCATTAGAACCATCTTGTCAAACTATGTTTTAATTGTTTTTGATGTAGTGTTATTTCACAGCTTTGACATTCTTTGCATATTTGATATCTGTTTATGATAAGAAACACCACTTACACTAAAGTAATTTTATTTAACCCAAAGAAGAAAGTTGACTATTTAGTTAGTACTAGTTGATAAAAAAGAGAGAACACTAGGTTTAGAGTCTACTACTAAATATTATGCGTACCTTTTTTTTACAAGTTAAATGAAATTACTCCAACATTAACTAAAACATTCTTACTGATAATAGTAAGCAACGACTGATAAAAATATTTGGGGATTAACTACAGTCAGCATTGTGATTATAAATCTTTCCAAGAGGTATTTCTGAGGTTCACAATTCTTCTCATTTTTGAAGTTTATTTTTATACCAGCATATAACACCACCCACATCCTACATTGTACTAATCTCCCCAAGATTTGACGGTTTYGTAGTTATCATGCAGAGTGAATCTCAATAAAAAGCTTTCAAGTCTATTTTTGCTCTAGATGTTAGGGTCTCCCACTGTTTTGCCAATTAATCTTCCATGGTCTATAGTTTTTCTGGTCTCCAAGGGCGAGCCCTTCTTTATTAAAAACGAGGAGAGTGTGTCAAAGTACTTGTCGCCTGCTTGCCTCACACGCATGGCTTATAATACATATTCCTATTTATAAGCTTTACTATAACTTTTATCTTGAAACAATTCAATCATTATCGTTGAATGCTACAACCTGGGGTTCAAGTCACAAGATGTGCACATCAGTAGTTCTAGAATACTATTTTTATCTTGAAGAGATAGCTGAATGCAAATCTAAATACAAGGAGCATTTGAATTCATTTTGTGAGAAAAAATAGTCGGTCTTTCCAACAACAAGCAAAACAACATGTAACATTTCAAAAATACTTTAACGTCACCGTGTATAACCGGGTTTCATACCGAGCGGGAGGACTGGGGAGAATGAGTTTTAACTGTTGGCCAGGCTGGATAAAAATAAATAACGGGGTTCTTATATAGCGCATTTTACGTGGTCTCAATGCGCTTCACAATCATAATCAGTGGAGGACTTTACGGGCTGCGTATTTTAGGCGCTATAGTAGCAGCCGTGCAGCTTACAATCATGAGTGATTTGTTAGTAAGTTAGTATTAATGCCTCCTGATTGGGATAGGCTGTTGAACCGGGAGACAATCCCCTAATTCTTATACGAATAATTCAACAGGTTCTTTTATGTCCCCCTTTTTACTGTAGGTTAGGAAGAGTTGGGAGACAGGGCCTACGGTTTTAAGTCCTTGTCCGAGAAGACTTGAAATTTTGACTTGAAGACTTGAAGGCAGCACCTTCTCCTCAGTTATTTTAAGACCCTGAGTGTTGGTCCGGCCGAGGCTTGAATCACGACCTCCCGCACAACACCCGACGCTCTTACCAATTGTGTAATACCATTGAGGTCGACAAATGCAGCCCAATTTTGACAAAATGAATAAAAATCACTGGGAAATAAAGGATATTTCAAAAGTTTTACCCAGTCCTTCCACCATTTGAAACTCGTCAATGGGATAATCAAAATATCGTTGTCACACCCTACAATACCAGATGCACAAACGATTAGTGCACTAGCTTTAATTTCTTTTGCTTAAAAAAGATGCCAAACGCAACATTTGGAACATGTTCTAAACATGCTTACTTTAAGACAACTTAAGAAGTCAAAGGCAATTTTGGAGAACTTGGAAGCAGAATATGCCAAATACAGATCAACTCCATGCTCTTCCAACCGAGGCACGCTTTTCAATGGATATCATAACTATAATTATTGCACACTCACAAGTCCTGATATCATATCTGTTTTAGGTAAAAACTGAATATATAGCAACGTAAAACAAAATGAATATATAGTGGAACGAATTGCTCCATTTCATGAAGGGTTTGTTATTTATTCTTTAAGCTCACGTGAGTTGTATTTTGAATGATTTTACTTCCTGTAGAGTTGAATGATTGAACAGTTTAGTTTGGTCATGTAGTGAGTAATGCCGCTTCAACGATAAATACCGTACATTCCATCTTTTATTCTCGGCAGTATTTAACGACACAAAAGATACGCCCACACTTTGCACAGCTTGATTAGTTTCGTTTGACTTTCTTCTTGATATTCAAGACATTTTCTATTCATACAGTGAATGGCTGCAGTGGTCTTGGTCGGTAGGTGGTTGGTAAAGGTCGTCGAGCGCGGTAGTGATCGTATCATGGTCATTATTCCTATAGTTAGTTTTAGTGTTTCGGTATTCTGGGTGCTTGGTTGAGATGGTGGTTGTTGTTAAACAGTTTGTTTCTAGAGTTAATGCGATAGTTGTGATTGTGCCGGTTGTGCGGTTGGCCATATCGTGGTCGTAGTATGCAGTTAGGCCGGCACTGATACAGACACTAATAGGCCGGCACTAATACAGGGCTACGGTGAGGCGATGCTACATTAGAGATCATGCTAGCTATGGCGACACATGTACTGCCTCGCAAGACGTAGTAGCCAGCAACCCTACGTCAGGCAAGGGGGACTAGAACGTGCTTTATGATGTCATGGGATCAGTAAACTCTACTTCCTGTTTCTTTAGTGCTTATAATAATAATAATGATAATAAACCTTAATAGTATATATGCGTATGTACTTCCGCTCTATAGCCCGCTCTACTGTTCGTATCGTTGCCGTTGTATATACAACTGATGGTCTTGGTTTGGCAGTGTCAATCGCCCAGTTGGTCATTTTTTGGTACCATTCATATTGTAACAGTAAATAATTGCATCATTTGGCCCTTATCATTCGGATCACAGATTTGTATTTCTACGAAGAACTGACTGTTCTGTTGTTTCTAGCGATGCCCACACACATTAAACATGATAGGACATGATCATTACCACCCATCTTGCTATGATGTTGTGCTATTACATGCCAGGTTTATGAGGAGATAATATGTATAGCTATGGCGTCATTTGAACCATTAAGTGTTTCACAATCCCCTCTTTTACGAGCTAGGGGGTTATGTTTGTTGATATTGGCTTTAATGGTAACCTAGCAGAACAGCAGCCAAGCGTGGTGGTAGATTTAATCTGGAACAGTTTTGAATCTTCAAAGCATGTACGCATTGTTGAATCATAGCAAGACCACTTTTCAAAACTGAGTCACCAACCAGAACCGCAACTTCGGATTTCATTGTTTTCGTTTTTCCATCCTAAAATAGAGTGAAGGCGTGTATGGTCGATTCTTACACGAAATTTCTCGATAATAAAGGTTTGCAAGTGCCGAATTGACTTTAGGTTGAAATATGACGTCAAGCCAGAGTACCTAGCGAGACTAAACACTCTACACTGACTGATGGCGGACTGATGGTTTAGGATATCAGACCTAATAGACATACATTATGTACTTACTTCTTACACATTAATCACCGTTAACCCAATGATTGTTTCATAAATCAAAGTCATTACTTCCATTAGGCTAGTTTTATAATCGTGCAAAGCAGAATAAGACGACAGCCTGTGATTCTACTGACGACATTTCTCAAGTTGCGCTAACGTACTGAACCGATTAGTGGTGATAACGCTAAATGAGCGTCATCAGTTATATGACACTAACAATCAGTTGAAGTACTTGGGATAGAGAGCCGTCATTTTTTTTATAGACGTGACTGCAACTATGTCATTTTCAAGAAGAATTTCGTCAATTACTTAAGGGGATTTTAAACCAGATCTGAGCGATTTGAGATGGAACGAAACTTTGAGTGGCCAGAAGAGTGGCTATCATTGAGGATATCATTGTTTAGTTGTTACTATGATAATGATCGTGATAGAACAGCAAGAAAGACTGTGAGATTTACGATAATTGCTGCCCACCATGTCAGTCAGTTCATCAGGTAAAAAAAAATGGTCAAAATTATAATCAAATAATAATTTGACAGGCAAAAAAACTGTAAAATCTCTTTCCTCATTCATTATCTCATTCAGTTTTCAAACGTGTTTCGTCTATTCAATATTCTTTCTTGCCAGACCAATAAAAATGAAATGTTGTTTATTTTCTAGGCCACTGTCAAGTACCTTCCGTTGCCCCAAGGGCAGATCTTCCCATGGGGTTCAGTTCTATAGTATTTTATCTAATTCTAAAGTGGACTGTAACTTAGATACTGACATATTTTGGCACTGGAATGTGAAGTTGGCAATGTGTTGCTTTCTTTCTTTCGCAGGATATTTCATTTAATTGTACGTCATGATGATTCCAAATGCATCATATCCTTCATTGCCTTTTAGAGGGTTTTTCGTACGAGTGCAAGAAAAATGGAACTGCAGTGCACGGTACTTAGGTAGCTCTGTATGTGATGGTTGGGAGATACCCCTCATTTATGCCTGTTGTCCCACATACAAAGCTAAGCTCGACGCAACTAGCATACGTAGTCACAATTAGGGTAAAAAAAACCCGTACAGCTATGCAAAAGAAGTGAATTTCGGCTGGAATGGATTCTAAGACCGACACTATAAAGATGTTACACAAATATTGTGAATACTTGTTTATTATCTAGTGAAGTATGATCTTTCTTTGTAATGTCTTCTTTCAGATAAATATCGATATCTAGCCTTTTATTGTTGTTATACCATTGTCTGTCCTAATCCTTTGATAGATTGAAGAGTGAAAGGTGCTTGACTTAATAATGACCGGAAGGAATCTTTGAATCTTGGCCAAATTTATTGATTAGCAATGTCAGTCAAATGTTTAATCCAAGCTTGCAGCATACGTTTGTCAAAATAAAGTTTGTCTTTGTTCCCAGTGAAGGAAAGAGTTTCTAACCAGCCTAGAAAAATAAAGGGTGAGTGAATGATAAAGATCGGGATTCCTTGAGTACGAATATTTAAGAGTGCACAGCCAAAAACCCTCGGTAACCGCATATTGACAATGGATTTTCAGACAACGTTCTTGTATTATTATTCTTATCTTGGTCTTGTTACCCTAACGTCACAACATCAAAGCATCCCATGGCTAAGGCAGTGTTTATCTTGCAACTACGCATCGTCAATATCGTATAAATTGCTTGAGATATATCTCTGCCCGTCTGCAAGGCTTTATCCAAAAAACAGAGGCTGGAAATTTGATTTAAAAATATACTCCCAAATTACTACATTGTATCAGTAATATTTTAGTCATGAGGTTCCGCTCGACCCTATAGACACCCTGGCAGTCACGTGATGATCATATGTGTATTTCATGCTTCTTGACGAACCGTCTGTATCATCCTCAGGTTTGCGATTGACACTCGGTCTCTTTCAATATCAAATACAACTGATTTATCAAATGTGCACTTGGAAATTATATAAATTGGTGATTAGAGTCTACAGAAAATTATTATTAACGGATTCCATTATTTCTGATAGATACACTTCACGTTTGCTTCTTTGTTGTGTGAAAAAAAATGTTTGAATTTAAAAAAAAACAACAAAATACACGAGGACTTCTATGCATTCACTTCCATGATTTATTTTCTCCATTTATCTGTTACACCCTCATCATTCTTTATGTATTTTTGCTCAACAAAAATACAATAATAAAGATATCCTATCATTCTTTGAATATCTTTAGCAATCTATGCCTTTTAGCATTCTATATGTATATATATCTATATATGAGCGAAATCGATATTGTGTCGAATTTGAGTAATATTTACAATTGAAGTTTTTAAAGATATTTTTTTCTATGTACAATTATGTAATGTTATGTACAATAATATACAGTGTTATGAGGAATATCTATTGTAATTTTCAATTTCAGAATATTTTACAGCACTCTATGTCCAGCATATGCGTTATAACCGAGATAGTAATGTACAATTTTTGTATTATTTCCCCCTAAAGTGTTTGCAAATCCGCTTGTCTGAATGCGGAAAAAATATATAAATGGCTATCTATCTAAAATTCTAATGTTCGATTATATTTCATTTGGAAGAATTACCATAACCAAGTGTATCCAAATACTTGGACTAGTTAAGTTTTTCTTTTTTTCTTTTCCTAACATAAATGTCCTTTATCAGTTTTGTAGACATCGAGTATTTGATGTTGTATTAGTCTTGGAAGGGGAAGTCGATGAACATCTTCAACCTTGAGGCAAGAGATTTTTTTGCTTCTTTTCATCGCTCCTCGTATAATATCAATACATTTGTTTTGAAGTTGGTTGGGTTGCTTTTTTTCAACGAGGTCTCCCACGTAGTTATATCTCTCTAGGTATTGGGTCTCTACTTCGAACAAACAGTCCAACTGCAAGGCATTAAAGTCAGAAAAATCATCTATCTTTGAACAGTCATTTGCTTGTGAGAGTGTTACCAATGCACGACTAGCATCTCTTCCAGCTAACGATGAATCCGGGCCTTCGGGTCCGAAGTATTCCCATGCCGAACTTACGTCAAACACCTTTCGATTTATAGCAACATAGATTTCGTGCCTTCGAATGCCATCATACATCTTTAGTTCTTGTAAAGTGAATTCACAAGGTTCTACTTTTCTTTCTTCGCGGTCATTACTTTTCTGAGGTTTTTCCTTCGGAAGCGGTCTGATTTTCCTCCATGTAATCTGTAGCGTTAGGCATATTGTCCCTAACAAAAACAAAGCTTGGAGTGGAATTTGTATTAAAAAGCCGAGCACGTCAAATATATCTCGACTTTCAAAGATTGTTCTCCATTTGGCCAGCAATGGAACAGATAAGTTCACACATTTCCCCATCCTTTGTTCTCTTACGTTGAATAATTCTTTTCGATGACTCTGTAATGTTTTGGCTCGCTATGAGACAGCGTGTTTGTTGACCGCGCTTGTGTCATTTCTTTTATACCGGTATGCCGTATCTAATTATAGAAGATGAATGAAGCTGGCGTAGTAGTGAATGGCATTCATGGCCTCAGTGAGCAAGCACCAACCATGACCGTGACGCCAGAATGTTCTGAATGAGTTTGAACGAGTTTCACTCGTATCTACGCGATATCCTGCTCTGAACCCGTGTTGATAATGGATTGACTAGACAATCAATACTCGATTAGAACCAATGAGACTCCTTCGTATTCTATGGCTTCACACTGCAAAGTTCTTCTAACTTCCTGTGGGCAGGAAATCTGTCCAATGATCCTCAAGAGCTTCGATTGACACTTACCAAACGTTTTTTAAGAAAATAAGTCTGTTTAGTTTTCATTAATGTGCACTGAAACTCCAGCCCACTCAACTAATAATTGCGGCCCTCCGACGTCATCTCAGATACCTTTGACACGGTTGACATAGCAACAAAGGAAATAAAGGGCAATGTTGACATCGGTGCTCAGTCTGGTCTAACCGCAAAGATCATGCCAATCATTTGAGCGACAGAATGTGTAAAATCAACTCTCAAGCTTTTCGAAATATAGTTTTACACTTTTCAATACCTTATAATATGTTATATTTTTGCAAATTTTGACAGCACCAACATGTTTTTTAAGAGACGCAACAGCTTTTTGCTGATGGTGCAGTTTTATGGATGAGAAAGTTTGAAAACTGACAAATTGCCAAAACTTCTTTTGTTAGCTTTCTTTGCACGAGGCATTTATTAAATATGTCATATAAAGAAAATGACTTAATCTTCTTAGTCGGAAACTTGAGAGTTTTCAGTTTAGTTAACACGAGTAATGATTTCCATGAAGTCTGAAAGGAATGCGGTCCATATTCCTGTCACGATATCCAAGGGCTGTAAATGTTAGTAACCATTTCACTTCTCAAAACTAATGATCCTTCTGCCCACCTTAACGTGAGTAAATAACTTAAAGAACTTGCAGTATTAATACTTGCCGATGTTTAAACAGGTTTTAGTGACCACTGAATACTTTACGTGGGCGGATATGAATGAGGGTGACGCCTTCTTGCTTAGCTTTCAAGACTCAGGAAGTATGTTAAAGTGATAGGAAATATCTGTGGGGAAATGGTAAAGATCTTGCCTATGCAGAGATTCGAGGTTCAATGCAGATGCATAGTGGTGATTCTGAACACTTGTTCTTGATCTTTTTTAGATTGATATTCCATTATTGTCGGTGCTTTAGGATTTCCGCTTCTTTGTAGTTGCGTGACTTGTTCTCTCTTCGCCCGCAGCCATGAAAATGCCGATTTGCAAAGTTTTTTTTACAAATTAGATTAATTTATTGCAAAGCAGTTATAACTTCTTATTACGAGGAAAATTTTCATGTTAGTTAACAGCTACATTTTTGCACTTTTTTTTTTTTTTTTTTTTTTTTTTTTTTTTTTTTTTTTTTTTGAAAATAGTTTCTTTTATTGATATTTTTCCCCTGGTTATGTTATTACTTTATCACTTCTAGTATGATGTGAATCCTGGTTAATTGTTGATCATATGTTTAGACTTCATTACTTCAGAGGGCGTTAATTCTAAGACTGCTAAAGACTGATCCACTTGCGTGTCTTGCTTCATATCATTTCGACTCCAGTCATTTTTCACTCAAGTTTCATTGTTATTCAATGGCCTCTTGGTTGGAATGGATTACAGAATACAATTCATCGTTCGGACTGACTTACAAAACCTAATCTTATTTTGAAAACTGCAAGAAATTTGGTGGTCTAGTCAGCTGGATAAGTGCTTAAAATCCATGGCTTTTTTACTATAAGCTCAGAAAATTCAAAACATCCCAAACTTGTTAATATAATAGCTAGATATTGGCTTCAAGGCTTATTGAACAAAGCCGCTCAATTATGAACTGGACTGCGCTCCGTTTTTGCCCCGGGAAAAAAAAACTTTGAAACAAAAGACCGACTTTCTCTATAGTTCTAGTTTTTTGTGGGTGATAGTATAAGCCCGCAAAACATTTCAGAATGTGTTTCAGTCGGTCTTTTTGTAGAGACTTGAGTGCTCTAGCATTGTCATTAAGGATAATGTACAATAAAGACTGCAGACAAGTGTCAGACAGTGTGAACCAACATTTTTGCAATTTTTGAAATACTAAACTCCCCTTTTTACTCTTTTCCAAACCACTTTCTTCACTGTTTGTGCTTCATAAACTGAACTTGTTGGACTTAGTGGATTTATTTGGTTTTGTTTTTATAATTCTCTAGATTCATGAGGAAAATTCTGCTTGTACTATGGCAGTGATAACATCTTTGAAGTAATTAGTTTAATGGTAGATATTGAACTAGGAAATAATTTGGCTTTGTACCACGAATGCTAAGCGTTATAAATATTCCAACCGAAAAAAATCATAGCTAAAACACCCAAGAGTAAGACATGCAATACAACTATGTTCTTTCTTCCTTCCTGCTATTCGTGTGTATTAAAACTTTTCAAAGTTTGGCTTAAAAATGATCAATGTTTTGCGTGGCTTTTGAGCTCGCCATTTGTCAAAGCATTATCAGGGTACAAACCCATTCAACCCTTAAGAAAGATTTTTCCCATGACCCTGTGAAATCTTTCGAAATTACATAATAATTTCATGATTATTTACTTTCAAAATACGTAAACAATCTTGGTGTTCTCATTACTGCCTCGGTTATGAAAATTTAAGGTGTAAAGCAAGAAGAAAGAGCCAAGTGATGAGTGCCAGGCGCGCGCACCGTGGCCCTTAATGATGTCCTTTATGCAAAAGACTCCAAATAACGCCAAATCTATTCAAAATCAATGTTTGATGAAGCAAACAGGAACGCAAAGTCAGTATTCCATTCCGGAACATTTGGTTTCCCGGAAAGACGATTGACGCTCAAGAATACGGTCCAAAGTTCGTTAGCTCAGTCGACACAAAGTGACTTGCATGACGTCATGCAGGGAAGTAAACAAATAAAACGATGTGACTCAGCACTCGCTTCCTCCTAAGGATGACGCAATAATGGCGTAATACAGCCTCGTGAAAGTCCGCTGACTTGATTTATTGTTTGGGATAATGTCATGACACGTGATTCTTGACACGTGACACATGAATGTTGTAACGTGACTCTAGGTAAGTTAACGGAAGAATGCAGGGTTACAAACCGTTACAATACTGGAATGAAGCCATCATTGATCTTATTAATGTTTACTCAAGTCAACAGGTGACAGTTAGTCATTTGTGGGTTATCAGATAGACTACCGAACCCCTGTTATAACATGAACGATGACATTCCAGTATTACTGAACAGTCTAGTTTTAGTAAAGCGTATAGTAAATGCCATACACCGGACATGAACCATGACTCGGCTACAACAGCCGGAACATATTGCATTCCTAATGTTACTTTAGTTTATAAAACCTTCATATGTGTGCTAAATCAGTATTGCTATTAGCTCAAGAAACTTTTATCAGATTAAATAAACTACGAACAATAGACAATGAGATATTTTTATACTTAGGGTTAAATTTTAGTGAAGCTTGTCTTTACCTCGTAAGTCAGTCAAGTATTTAGCTGATCAGCTCGGAGACTGAGACAGAGAAAGATCCATCTGCTATTTTACTAGACAGTTCCAAATGACTGTAATGCCAATAACTGGGGCAATATTTTTATGATTTTTACCTTTGGGATATTTTTTCTCTATTTTGGTCGCATGAAGAATGTAAATGTTTACTTAGGTTGCTCACAATCGTACCATCTTAAACAATTGCTATGGAACAATAAACAATGAAGGAAGCATTTGCAGTATGGAAGAAAATGTTTTTCATTTTTGATTCTTTATCTAAGTTTTATTTTTAATGTTCTTTTGTCTCTGGAATAAAACCTTTGTGGACAATAAGATGTTGGAATTCTACTGTCACGTGACTGAATGACGACCCTAAAGCGGCCTCGATGCATGTCTTTTTGACACCATCACATTTTGATTACAGTTTGATATCTATATATTCCGTTTATGTTTTTCTTGTAATTTAATAAGATATGCTTCTAGAGTTAATATCATTTGGTACAAGGGGTTTAGGGCACTAGGGGGCCTCACGGCCCCGTTGGGGACACAGACGCCTACTTCAATCACTCAGACGCTTATTCAAAAAGATCTTGAAAACCCTGCCGACTGACATGAAGTTTTCTACAAAAGAACTGATAAGGCTTCCCATCGCACCAAGCCCTTTAAAAAGTCTTCAAGCTATTGTTCATGTAGTTCGTATGGGTTTTATTTGATTTCACAGTAATAAAAATGATTTACCCGTATTATACAGGTTGGGAAGAAAAACGCGCCTTTGATTTGTTGCGTATTGAAGAGCTAAAATTTAAACAGAAAAATGCGGTTTTTTGCCGGCAGAGTAATGGAATCAGTGCTGAATAAGGCCTCTTAAGGGACTGTTCATTAATTATGCCTCAGGRTGGGCTGGAGGAAAAATCGAAAAAACCTTGGAAAAATTCAAAATTTGACCCCCCCCCCCTCCTTGTGACCTTTTAGACATACCTTAATTATTTGTTTCAACCCCCCCCTTAAGTCAGCAAATACTATTAAAGCCCCCCCTTCTTTGTGTGATTTTTTCAAAGCCCCCCTACTTTTCCTCCAGCCCCCCCTCCCTCCAAGGCATAATTAATGAACAGTCCCTAACAAGCATGGAGGGTACTTGCCAAGCAAGGTCGGCTAGCTCGGCTTTACAAGGAAAAAATACAAGCGGTGTAACCATAGTGCTAAAAACAATACATTCCAGAATTACCTTTTACTGTCTTTTACTTTCAATACATTCGATAACTCATTTCAATAACTCGAATTCTATTCTTTTCCACTCTTAATCTGATTGGTTGACAAACTCGAGTGTTCACGGTTTGGGGTGGACGACAGTAACTTTCTAAAAATGCTGCTTTTCTTATGTTACTTCGAGGCCAAAGTTCAATTTTGTTGAAGTATTTTGTAGAAAATTGCCTTTTGGCCATTATATACTGATTTTGTTTTGCCTGCTTTAAAGTCGAGTAGCCTTCGTAGCGAGTCCATCCTCCACCCTCCCTTCCCCTCCCCTCCCGCCTCGCCAAACCCTTAGAGCGCCGCTAAGCAGGCTAAAGTCGCGAGACGCTTCACAGGCCTCCGTAACAACCGGTCAAAAACGGCCCGAGAAAAACGCGGATGTGTCTATAGGCCTAAATTGTCAGCACCATTTACATCACAGGTAAACGAGCAAGAGAGGGGAAGAACCTGTCAAACATGCTTGCTTGCCATGGTTTCATTGTAGCCCAATTCAAGCGGCTTGAAGGGTTCCTCTGGCTTGTTTAGGATCGACGGATGTTGTATGGATTCGTTATAACAGTGTGCAACATAGACCTTTTTCCTCATGATCGTAGTTATCAAGTAAGGGAGCTTTCGAACTATCAGAGAAGTTTTCGTATGCAGTATGGAAACTATCCTCTCTAGTTGCTGGGGATAGGAAACAGAAAAAACAATACAATTAGTGTAAGATCATTTATTACAAAACCATTAACCATTTCAGTCTATCATAGTGTTGGAAGCTTTCTATGAGACTCAGATACTTATATGGAGCTAAAATTTGCCGCAAGCTAAATTGTGATGACCCGAAATGCCTTTCGCCAAAGAGGAGTCGAGGCTTCCTCAGTGCACAAGCGAAGTCAAACGTTTTGAGATTCGGTCAAATAGCCTACTTTAAATCTACTGTAATCATGAATAGGTGAGATTTGACCATGGTAATTTTATCTCCACTGCTATCGGACGTTCATGGGCAAAAGATCCCAACGTCAGATTTTTTTAAAGTTTTGCAAGATAAAAAAAGATCATACTAGAAGTAAAATAAGTAAATAAAATATGGAGGTCCCCGACTTCGTTTAGTCGTCAGGGTACGTGGAAGTTCACCCTTTTTATGGTAAAAACACGCGAACAAAGTAAACATGAAAAGCTGTCAAAACAAAAGTCATATTTTATTGAAAAAATAAATTGGACGTCCCCATTTTTCACAGAATACTTGAAAATAACCGAATAACTAGTTAAAAATTAGAAATATAAAATGTTAATGCGCTATAACTGTGGACTTGAACGTCGGTGTTACGTGAAATTCTATTCCAATTATACACAAAATATGTAATTTCAATTTGATCCCAGATCAGATTTTTAATTTTTTTTTCTCTAAAGTTAGGTAATACCGAGTACTTTCAAAAAACGAAATACAAAAGGGGGTGCCCGACTTCGTTTAAGAGCTATAACAGATTAAATACGTATTCATAATATCTTGCTTATCAAAACATTGGAATGACGTCATCACGATGAGGGCGCGCTCACTGAATTCATGCGTAGAAAGGATGCGCGCGAACAAGGTCCATGAACGTGCTTAAGGTGGCTGACTACTTTGGTAAATAATAAACACAAAATTGAAACTTTTTCAACCTGAAATTCAGTAAGGCTAATTTCAAAACTGCAAAGAAAAATGGGGTGTCCCGAGCTTGTTTTTGAGATAATCGCTCCGGAATGACATGCGTTTGTTCAATTTTGGAGGAAAAATAGCGAAAATCAAGCTCTGTGCAAATCATAAAACCGAAACTAAGGAAGAAACATGAGTAATTTTCTCCGAACAAGTATCTTACACTATATTTATAAAATGGTGATAAAAGTTGTTTTAATAAACTATTGTAGACAATGGAAAAAAWTTTTTTTTTCAGGTTACATGGTGTGCAAGTTATCGAGCACAAMATTGAGCACAAAACAAACAGAATTGATGAATCTGATAAACAGAATTGTCTTAAACTTTGAAAAATAATTGGATATTACCTGTATTCTGGAAAATAACATTAAAAAATGTCCCGTGCAAAATTTGAGGGTTTTGCCCTCTTGAAGTTCAAAACATTTATAGTTCTTCAATAAAATCGTGAAAAGTGTTCAGCRGTTTTTGAGCGCGCGCACATCGTGGGCTCAAATCGAATGTTGAAAAGTAATCAGCCACCTTAACGCAAAACGTATTAAAATTAATCTAATTTCTAATCTAAATTCAATCTAAATTTTCAGTTTTAATTTTCAATACCCCCAGGAAGGGTGATTTACTCTCTCTTTACATTTTCAATTCCAAATACACACATGAAATGCTTTTATTTCGAGACAAGTACTCAGTTTTTTGGAGTGGCAAAGGGTGATCTACGCTCCAAATTCGTAGTCCGGCTCTCTCCAATGCCGGTTGAGTAYTCGCTCGGGGTCAGTGGTTCGAGCACTGCGTCCTTTACCCGCGAGTAGAATTTGTTCAATGTGTTTTTTTTTCTGGTATCGTGGCCCGTCAAGTTCCTTAAATTTTGATGCGCGCGCAACCTTGAGAAAACGGCCTATTGAAGAACTTGTCATTTTGGGACAGTCTTTCGATTGGCCACCCGCTACGTGCAAAGCGTTATGGGGCATGTAAAAATAGAATAATTATATATTATTTGGGGATTATTTCTTAATTAGATAAAAATTTTCCCTCGCTCGCAGTCCCTTCATTTCCTGGAAGGTCTCCCCCCGCGCTAATGAGTAGGGTCTGGGAACGAGAATGGTGCTAGCAGGTGTCCATTTGTTTTATCAACAAATTGCCGTCGTGTGGTATAAATTGTTTTAGATTGTGTTACGGTCACCAAAAAGTTCGGACATTGTTCTYGAATTTCCGTACAAATGTACTGACTCTAAATGAACTATTTACTTGGTTAATGTTTAGTTAGTTCTCTAAATACAAGTAAATGATCATTTTCACTAGCTTGATTAAAGCTTTTCTTACTGCTGTTAAGATAGCTAACTAAAGAAATCTACCAAAAGTTTCTCTTTAAAGTCTTGTATGGAAATCCGAGAACGATGTCCGAACTTTTTGGTGACCGTAACACAATCCAAGCTATAAATTGAACCATCGATACATGCTTGTAGCCTCCGTCGCAGGCGTCTTTCGTCTCTTTTTTGTTGAATTGGGATTCCTGTGTCGCGAATTGGAATTCCTGTCGAAAGAGACTAGGCGCTAATTAGGCGAGAGATTGAATTGAAATCATTGTAGTATTCCTAGCGTCTCGTTTTTTTTCTAGGATCATAGTAKTCCTTCATAAAGAGATAATCCAAGACAGAATAATGAATAATGATAACCCATAATAATGATAATAGGTAAGGAGGAGCCAAAGAAAGTTATTATTCCATCGAGAAGATTGCACTAAGTATATAATCTAGATGACTGATGTAGCAGATAATTTATTGACTAAAAGCATCACATTAATTGTAAACTCAAGTTATCTGCGTGGAAGTTAACTGTTGGTTGTCTCAGAAATGTCATCAGCATTTCTTCGTCGTGTATATTTAAAACTATGTCTTGCTATATAATAAAAAAACAATCATATATTCATATATAGTATAATAATATACTTACAAATCGATGAATAATTCAGACTTCTGTGATGGTTTGGAGCCAATACTTCGACGTAATTCACTTCTCTTCCTGTTGCCAGACACGTCTTGTCGTAGAAATCTGATGTAATGAGTTTACAATCTCCATCTTTGCTTCGAAATGCCCGAAATACAAAATGATAAATTCCTGGTGTGAGTGAAATCACCTTAACTAATGTGTTGGTGTCAGTCCTATTTGATCGTTCGAGTTCGTAAACACTTATTTCTTTCGCATCGATACTAGTCTCGAAGGGATCTTTGTATATTCCTGCAGCTCTGCATATCAATAGTTCCACTTTATTGGTTATATATATCGACTTCCAAGCAAAAGCAACTTCTAATTCCACAGACATTGCCTTCTCATTGTCGAGGAAGAATGAAATCTTTGTAGAGATATTGCCAAATACATGTAACATGTGACTCACCTTTTGTAGTTGTTTACGCAACTTGTTTACGCAACTTGATCACGCAAGCATCTATGTCACGCAATAAAGGATTACGTCCTGCTTGCTTCGACCCATTACACATGACATATTTATCTCTGAAATATTTTATAGGCTTCAGAGGGCCGTTATTATTCTTAAACGAACGGACAAAAATATGGTGACCAGGGGTACAATACACCTAAATCCAAAATGGCGCACGGCCGGTTGAAAACGAGACATCCAGTGCAGGGCCAAATTTACAAATTTACAGCATTTTCTTATAAATTGATGCTGCAAAATTGTCGCTATCCTGGATGTAAGAAGAAAAGGAAGACAGAACRAGTAAACAAGTGTATACTTTGCATTGACACCATATTATCTATTTGCAWCTGGCCCTGGATGCCTCGTTTACATGTAACGCAATCGGCCGTGCGCCATTTTGGCCTTAGGTGTATGCTCTGCTGTAAACAAGCAACGTACATGTACTCAAATTTGTTTTGGGAATACTTAATCTACTACTCAGTTTATTTTAAAAAAACTCCAAAACATGTTTTCATGCAGCACACTAACTTTATTTTTGGTTTTAAATTATCATGTTACATCTTTGACTTATTTAGCTTTATGAGTCTTTTTGCTGGYATTTGCCGTATATTACCTAGAGCATGAGACTTACATAGCTATTTAGATGTTTAGTTAGTTTATGTAGTATTAACTATCCTAGTGACCACAGGGTCTGTGACGGCTACAGAATAGAGCTTTGATGGCTGAAGTGCAATCAAGAAACCACTGATACCTGCATCCACCTCCACGTCCATCGGTGTCATCGCGGAAAGGTAACGTCCATYCTGGATTGCGCTTTCCCGGTGCGCTCCAYCCGCTACAGCTTCGACGGCTTCCCTGGCACTGAGAGCTGCYTTCAGTCTCCTTGAAACACACGCGACAGACAGTAGAACAACCGTGGTAATATGTTCTACGGGACTCGATCTTCCAGGCGTAGCGGCAGCCACCACTTCGGCCGTCGGTGTCATCACGGAAACTAGCGGTCCAAGAAGGATAGTAGTTGCTCCATGCTGTACACGAACTACGAGTACCCTGACACTGCGAACTTCCCTCTGTCTCTTTAAAGCACAGCCTGTATTCTTTCCCCTTCTCGATTCTATTACCTGCTTCGATTCGCCATTGATACCTGCATCCTCCTGAGCGTCCATCGGTGTCATCACGGAAACTTTGGGTCCAAGAAGGAGATGAACTAAATCCACTACAAGTGTGTGRCGGTCCTTGGCACTGAGAACTGCGCTCCGTCTCTTTGAAGCAAATCCTAAAGCCAGTTGGAGAAGAAACGGCGARGGAAACCATATAACAGGCAAGAACAAGAGCTGAGAGAAGACTCAAGGCGCGGCACGTCATGGTAGAAATGTTACACCGACTTTTCTCGGGTTCGGCGGAGTTGATCGCAACTGACTTGTTGCACCTCAAATGAGTGGATATCTGTAAATGTTCCTTTATCAACCCTTCTTTATTGTTGCTATGCTAATCATGCCTGCACTGCTCGTGTTTAATGTGTTTATCTACTAGCGACAAAACGGGTATTTTCTTGCTGGAAACAAGTTACGGCTCTCATAACTCTGCGAATGAATATTTGCGCAATTAAGGATATACAGGACACAATTGATTCCTTTTATTTGAAATCTCATAGCGCGTTTAATTAATTTGTATCATAAATTATAAAGTATGCATTTTCTGAAAGCTTAAAGAGCAAATATTACATATTTATTGTCTTAATTGTAACTTTATAATCCCGTATAAGCAACTATTGTATTATTTTCATATTCTCTTTCCTGCTTTAATTTGGATCACTTCCATTATTCGCATTCTTTCGAGGGAAAACTATGACTTATGAAAACAGTCTAGCATAGTTTGGGATGATATAATTAATCTGCAATAGGACTACATGTTGTCCAATTTGGAAATAATTGAATTCAAAAAATTCCTCTGACTSCCAAATTGAACTCGGCCCGAATTTTGTCAGTCCTCGGAAATTTTTATTTTCTATAAAAAGCCTGACAAAGCTACATTCTGACACAAATGCAACAAAACATCTTTGTACAATTGAAAATACCGCTTCAAACAGGCATTTTATCATAGTACATCAGTTACTAACTGCTTAAAAAAGGTTTTGAGTGTTAACCCAAAACAAAATTGGGATCAAAACTCATACAAAAGTCTAGTTTTTGGCGCTTTTTGCCATTATTGCTCATTATTGRAAAAAAATTCCTCTTAATGCACTCTACAAAATTATTCGATTCTGACTGGACAAGAGGAGTACAATTAAATCCTCAATTGTTCTCTGTTGAGGCTCAATTTTGTTGAGTTAATTATAAACAAAAAATCGCACAATCTCTTCGTACAATTCGAAGATGCTYGTGATGTTTTGAATGTTCTCGGCTTGCCTAAAAAAAAACACTCGTACCAGTAAAATTCTGAATCGTACTCGAGATCGTGCGATTCCTACAAATAAAACTCATTTCAGTTTTGAAAAATCACATAGTATCCAATAAGAGCGCAAAGGCTAGAATTAAAGCGAGTGTATTTTTCACTCTGGTTAACGTASCCGTTAAGAGGTCAGGAGACTGAAGAACATTCCAGTCCTACCAGCCTGCCACTCAGCCCTACGGAGGGGAAAAAACAACCTCTGCTACCAGGGTAATTTGTAGTTAAAGGTACTGGGTGGGAGTGCAGTTTTATGGAAGTCATACATGTAATAAGCGTTATTGCGTTATTCGTATAGATCAGACCCACAAAAGAAGTCCAACTACCTATAAGAAAGTGATGGTTGGTCGGTTGTTGATATTACGAGATTGTTTGCCTTTTCCCCTTGGTAATTATTCATATTTACGCCAGGCGACGACAAACAAGAATTTTCCTGTTGGTGGGCACAATGCACCTTTTCTTTTTCACTGTTTATCATATTTTTCTTTCTTATCTTTTCAACCAATTTTATTTTCCTCAAGAGATTTTCATTAGGACTCAAGTTCAAGAGAGCAAATGAAGACTTCAGTCTCCACCGAGTCTTTACTGACGGCATTGTCTGGCTGTTGATAGACATTCTATCTTGCACACCCTCAGAAACACTGAATTACTATGGCAACCTTAAGATTTTTATTAAGAAACAAATACGCAACTGAAGACTTCAATCTCCACCGAGTCTTTACTGACGGCATTGTCTGGCTGCTTGATAGACATTCATAGATTTTGGTAACCATATCTTTGGGCATCCAAAGATTGAACAATATCGGGACTATAGGTCAGCAAGACATCACTCTTACCCCTGAAAATCTTGTTCCAAAAGAAAGACAAAAAGTGGTGATAAAGTGAGGCGTCTACAATCTCCAGCATCAGAATCAACACTTCGGTTTGTTTCACTTCATGGATAATATTGACGGTGTAGAGCTTGTAGGAAACACGAATAGAAAGCTCTGTAAACTTACAAAAGTTATCCAAGACAAACACAAAGAGTGTCATGTAGTAACTCACGTGCACCAAAGGGTAACTGTCTGTAGATGCCAGTGATGGGGGATAAGTAAAGTTCAACTGGTATATCAAACATGTGGTTAAGACTTTTGATATAATGACTCCCATCTCTACTTTATATGATCCTGAAGTCACCTTTGATGATGCTATAATTATTCCGTCATAAAGAATAATAAGACCGAGAATAAAGTTGAGGTACCAAAAATACTGCTTGCGCAAAAGAGAGATGATGACTTGCATGTTCTGCGCAGGTCGAAGCGGCTCGACGAGTTCACTGGGAATACAAACCAGACAGAGAACAATGATAGAGGTGAAGCATGAACAGCCGATCCAAAGACCCTTCCAGCAGTAGGCACCACAGCTTGGCGTTGCAACATGTTTGTAGATGGTGTAGTTGATGTTACAGTTGACGCTGGTTTGGGAATGATAGACGGTGCAGTCGAGCATGAAAATAGTGAACATGGCCAGACACACGAGACGAAAGACTTGGAAGAGTATGTAACACACGGCGGCGACCACATGCTTGCACTGGGCTGGAAAAACAATATCAGACAGGTTGGTTTTGTAAGGCACTAGCATGCAGTTGTAACAATTACAGTTGTAGGGCCGGGCGGTCAACCTGTTTTCCTGCGACCCACTCAGTGCTGTGATACCACCATTCATTTCCTTGTCGCTTACACCCGKCTTACAGGGGTATAAACATTTTTGTAGATGTTTACCGAGTCAATAATTGTTTTATCATACATTTTGTAAACTATGAATTATAAAGATTTAATTCTGCCTTCAAAAAARATAGCAAACGTATTTCAATCTCTATTGTGACCTTTGATAAACTTCGCATGATATTAAAACGTGATATCTGCAGTAAAACTTACAGATAGTGTATTTATCACATGTGACGAGTTTACACGATATCATGGACTGGCTGTTGGCTCTCGACCAATGAGAAGCGAGATAGTGTGAGTGAGTAAAATGTATGAAAATATCGATTATTCCCGAGAATGGGGTCGGTGTCCACTGGTAGAACGAAGCTTGGGATTGGGCAAAATAACAAAAACAAAGAAAGAATGGATTATGGTGAACAATGTGTATTGTTCCACATGTGAGCTGCGTTCTTTGTTTTATCTCACGATTCATTGTTTGTTCATCCACTCCCAGGCTTCGTTCTGACATTAGTCCAGTATTCGTATGACCGTGAAACGTTCACGAACACGGTCGTGACACAGCAAGGGATACGCCGGACCAATCACATTGCACGAGAATTGACTCTCCATCCAATCAAATACCCGGAATACGGCATAAACACGGCGCGGACACGGTCACGACAAGATCACGGCACTTTTAGACCAATCATATTGCGCGTGAAAAAAATCAGCCAATTAAAATTCTAGAAAGCATCACGGTCACKGCACGTCACRCTTACGGCACTGAGCTTTTCACAGTCATACGAAAGCTGCTCTAYGGTATGAATTGTGACGTTAAACGCTGAAACTACTTAAGATAATTATATTCAATGATTACTTTTGAATGAGCTGTTAAAAGGTATTTTCAAATTAGTAACAATAGTAAAACAGAAAAATGTTAAATGCAATAAAACTGTACGTAACTTTCGAAGAAAATAAGCTGTTCAAAGCTTATGTGAAAGATACGACTTTTGAAAAGTATGAATTTTGTAAGACTTTTCGACTTACTTCAAATAATAACAATGTTTTATTTAGTACCACTGTATTTACATGAACTGAAAGATTGAAAATCTAGATACTCTATAGACTATTTTCCTTTAGTGTTTTGACTGTATTTGTCACTATGAATTTTATTTCTAACTGAATCAAGATTCAAATATTTTYCTTTCAGTTGTAGTGTTAACAGGAAGTAACATAAGGTTTATTATGCGAGGTCAGTGGAAGACTCAACATAAGAGAGTTTTAGATTGACTTTTTTTTTCTCCCCGCAAACGGCAAACGTGACTACGTTTTCATAGTTTACCTGTATTTTACTTTACGTTTTACAAGCCTTCTCGCCAAGCGCAAATACTCTTTTGTTTTTCTACTACTTGGACTTTTTTGCGATTCTTTTTCAGTAATTTAATAGAATTTTTTACTGGTCAACTGACGTTTCACGTTTGCCGTGAACGTAAATCTAAAACTCTCTATAAACACATACTATGCTCACCGGCTGAACAACAACATAGCTGCTGCTTGCAAATTATTCATTTTTATGTCCAAATCAATTAAATATGAATTAATTGATGTGAGACTTACCTGGAGCCATACTGCAAAAGCTGGCGTCGACTCGATAGTAAATAAATTAAACGATCTCAGAAGAATCAGAAGAATCAACAGAATCGATAAAGGTTCATAGAGTTATTTGATCATTGTTTAAAAAGTGGATGATCTGCTTCTAGAATATGAAGAAATGTCGTTTATTTTTATACTATGGAAAACTGTTTGTTTTGATAGTATCGAAACGGTTTCTTTAAGGAAGGGGATTCTATGATATATATTTAGATCTATGACGTAAATTTTTGGTGCTAGCCGTCACGGGGTATAAATTGTTTTAGATTGTGTTACGGTCTCGAATTTCCGTACAATTGTACTGACTCTAAATGAACTATTTACTTGGTTAATGTTTAGTTAGTTCTCTAAATACAAGTAAATGATCATTTGTCTGACTTGATTGAAGCTTTTCTTACTGCTTTTAAGATAGCTAAAGGAATCCGAGAACGATGTTCGAACTTTTTGGTGACCGTAACRCGATCCAAGAATCGGACAAACATTGCATTCTGTTTAACCGCTACGAGGATTATACGAACCGATTTTATTATTTTTACTTAAAGTTACAATAATAACCCATGTAAACTAAGATCAACTGCGATCGGCTGTGAAAATTATCTGCTGAAAATAAACTTGTAAGATTGTTWGTCCGAATTTCGCCTTTGTCTTCGTTTWTATGACGTCACGGCTGCGCTGCGCTATTGGCTGTGCTCGATCATAAATAAATCACAACAACTCTTATCAGCAGCCCGAGAATGGGAAAGGGGACGGGGGAGTTTGGTGGAGAATAATATTTGAAGCTTTTATAAATAAGAGCTGTGAGAATTTTTTGTAAGTTTTGATTACTTCTATTTTCATAAACATGCGAACTCTCTAGCTGCGAGCTGCACGCTGAAGTTTGTTTTTTTTCGCTGCCGTCAATCGAAAATATGAAAGGTACTGACTGATTAGTTTTGATTGACAACAGTGAAAAACCAAATTCCAGCGTGCAGCTCGCAACTGAAACAGGGCGCTAATTTGACTGCGCATGTTCACGTTCATGTAAAGAGTGAGCAATATGCCCGGCAATATGGCTACTCTGTTCAGTCTATTATAAACAAACGTTTTTCGTTGCACTAATATGCTTCTACGTAAAGTATTTTTCTGCAGGATATATGTTAAGGACTAC